TTTTTTTCGAAACAATAGATGGATGAATTAGCACAGATGCTGTGAAATTTTCTTCAAACAATCTTCATTCATTTTCTTTGTTTTCCTTCCTTTTAACACTCCGCCGATAAAAACAGTTAGAGACACCTTCTTACCTAAAAGTGTCTAACGTGTTTAGAGGCCAGAGGTTTCATTTCGTTAGGAAATTTCTCCTTAAAACTCCAAGATGTGTTTTAGATTTTTTCCTCAACATACAGAGTTGCAAGAGTTGCAAAGCAGCGTTCTTCCAGAGTGCATTGAATAGAATTAAAAGAGGAGCAGAAAAATTGTGGTAGGATTTGGGTGAGCAAGCAATTTTGAAAGAGTTACGTTTTGATGCATCCTTTTAAAGTAATTCTCAGAATGTTAGGATCTGGAATTTGTGCAGTTGCAAGCTTTACTGAGATTAAAATAGATTAAAAGAATGAAAAAATGCGAGTGTAACAACTTCAATTTCAGCCAAAAACAAGGAAAAAAACACGATTTCTCTTACTTTATTTACTGAGACCAAAACCTTGAATGTCGCAGCTATCTGTTCAACGTTTCGACCTCCTAATAGACGATTTGCCTTCACTGATTTGCAAATAACGGAGGAAAGGGTACAACCAAATGCCCTGTGGAAGACGCTTGGTTGCATAGAGAGCGTACAATTAAAACGCGCAGAGAACGACAGAGCTTGGTGAGGCATTTGGCTTCGGTGTGTTATCTCGACTTGAACACAACGAATCTATATATCTGCTGCTCAAATGATTGAGGGATTTAGCTGACAGATGCGCAACATACATAAATCCTATCGCAATAAACTATTCTTTATTTTTTCCCTCTCCGTTATGAGCAACGCCCTCTCATCATTCAATCCTGAAATCTAGCAACTATTACTTCGAAAAGTATATGCAACTTCCAATGCTTAAGATATGTTTAAAGGATTTTCTTAATCATTTTGGAGCGTGGCGAAAAAATACTGCGCGTGACATGTGACTCCGTTTTAATTATTGTAAAACGCATTTAAGCACACTTTTTCTTTTTTGAATATTTTTTGTTGTTTACTATTGGTTTGTTATATTTGTTTTCCAAGCTATGGCGGAGACCTGCCCAAGTCGTGACGGTTAACAAAGAGTGGGATGAAGGACTCAGCAATTTTTGCAAGTCTCAGAAATCGTCTAATAAGGGAAGGATACTTATTCGAAATGACGATTCAAAAAGAGGTGTGTACTAGTAGATGCAGTTTTAGACGCTGATTTCAAATCCACCTTCCATATCTGCGAAGCATTTCTAAGGTAGAAGTTATAAGCGTTTGAAAATTTCAAGCGATCACACCACCTCTATCAAGCACATACTTTCGTAATCGAAGCTGTGGGTAGTCTAGTGGCAAGTGGATAATTTCTAATGCTGTTTGCTGCAGGTTCGATTCCTCTCACGTTCAAGCACTTTTGCACATTCTCAAGAATGTTTTCATGCATCAATGAACGTTATTCATAAATGAATGACGCATTTCACTTAAATAATGGCTTTATAAAACTTTCAAAATGTTACCATTTTTTTCCTACCGCTTAGCTATATACAATTCATTTTATATGTACATGCCCATGAGATTGATCATAAAGCACACTATAAAGATTCCATACTCAAGTTCCTTTGCTCATCTCTCAGTTTTGCTCTTTAAAAAATTCCTTTCTTATTCGTGGTATGGTGGCTACATAGAAGAACATGCTGGCGCAATTGAAACCCCCTAGTCAGTGTGTTTTTCTCCCAGCACTTTGGTAGACTTGTAAAGGCTGCAATGAAGTGACTTTCATTCGCTGTGCTCATTGTGAGAAGCATCTATGCTTTACACAATTCGTAATAGCATATTATGCATGTTCATAAAAGTGTATCCTTTCCCTGTCAATAAGTTTTGCTCAAAATGGGCAGATTTGGAATTAGCGTCTGAAACTGCATCTACTGGTGCACATCCCTTTTTGAATCGTCACTTCGACTAAGTATCCTTCCTTTGTAAGAACCGAGAAGATTGTAAAGCAATGGAGGAAGGACACGTTCAAATCAAACCTAGAAGTGGGCGAAAACGGACTGTCAACACCCGATAGATGTGTGGGATTATTAAGAAAAGGATTGACCGAAAAGACGATCTGAGTTTGAACAAGATGGCCAAATAGCTCAATATTTCATTCGTTCAAATGATAGTAAAAAATGAGTGTACTTCGAAGTTATCGTCTGTTTAACGGGTTCTTACCGATCAAGCGAAGCAAAATCGGAAGGAAAAATGCAAGAAATTACGGGAATTTTCAAGGTGCGGCGAATTGAGAGCGTCCTCTGGTTTGACGAAAAAGTTTTCACCGTTAAAGTGGTTAGAAACTCTCAGAATCACCGCCAACTTCTTAACCCAGCTCTCAAGAACAATTGTAATTATTGCCACAAAAAGTCTGTTTCCTGAAAGCTCAATGGTTTGGGGCGGTATCAGTGCCTCGGGCAAGATTCCTTTTTTATCAATAAAAACGAAAAATCAATGCAAAAGTCTACCAAGAACAGATCCTCAAGAAAGCTATGGTGGCGTGGAAGCAAAAACATCCCAATTTTATCTTTCAACAAGACTGGGCTCCAGATGGAGCTAAAACAATCCATTTTTTAAAGACCAAAATTAACTTCTTTTTAACTGAGGATTTGTGGCCTGCGAACAGTCCGGATCTGATCCATTGAGTTTTCTGTTTGGAGATTTATGGAAGAGCAATAAAAATGTAAAAAATCTGGTAACTTTGCGAAGAGAATTGATGATGATGAAATTTGGAACAATCTAGACGTAAACGGAAGAAACGAATTAACGGCTGTAAGCTGATGGCGGCCACTTTGAAACTTCTTTGAATTATAAAAAGTTGTGGCTTATTGTAAAAATAAATTTCTTTAAATGTTTGTTGGCAATAAATAAAATTCGAATGCTTTTTATGATGCACGTAATTTTAGCCACCCGTGGGTATATGTGTCATGTATAACATGTGCCGTGCATATATGTGAGTATGTGAATATTAGTGATGTTATGTTTTGTAAGTAAATACAAAATTTTGTTTGTAAACCGGTCCAAAAATTTCCTTGGAACATCGCATATAAGTGCCAGTAGCTGATTACAAATATGATAGGCTTTGAAATTTTTGATTTCTTTTTTAAATTGATTTGTCAATTTTTTTCGCTTTTGCTCAGGGGTGCTAAAAATTGATGCGCAATGGCTTGTCAATGTGCTGTCCGATGAAAATATAATCCGTCTGAACAGAGATCGAGTGAATTGTATACTTTATCAACTTTCCCGCTTTTTGCTGTAGGTGTTTGAAATTCGGAGCACAATGAGAATAGGATCAATATTGGTTGGCTTACTATGGATAGCCAATTTCTTAAAAACTGACCATCCTTTTCCGGAATTCAATTCAAAATCAAAGCTCCTTCTGGCGTAACTAATGTAAAATTACCCCGGCGTAGTCGAGTGTCCCGATTAAAAATAGCACAAAGTGCACAAAGGAAGCTTTTTCTTTTTCACGGTAGAGTTGAGACGAATGTCAGGGCGGTCGCACGAACAATGGCGCAGACTAATAAGGTCACCGGCAAATGAGCCTTACCTATACTTACTTTTATTTGCTTTCTGCCATTCTCTGTGAATGCTTTACCTTTTCTAAACGTTACAGCTGCGTCTTAACAAATTACGTCGCGAAAATTGGTGAGACGTGCGGAATCTGCCACTTCTGTCCTGTATTGTATCGGTTGGATATGTACGGCCCTTTGCAAAAATACAATAGCTATCTTTCAAGCATTCTCTATGTACTCTTTTTCCAAAATTTGCTAATGATTGTGCTGTGTGGATTTCATTTTATACAATCTACATTTTGATAGTTACGTCTTTACAAATGTTCAGTGATAAAAAGCAAGAGTACTGAATTTTCGAAAAGAGTATCAAGTTTGGGATAAACTGTTTCATAACA